CTGTCTTATACTGCTAAATTAGGGACGCTAGCGCAGATAGCCCTCGTGTAGCTTTGCGCGAAATTCAAAACAAACAAAAACAAACAATAGTTATTTGAAAATGAACGGGAACAATATAATATGCTATGTTGAATAGGGAAAACAATATTAAGAAAACAATAATATAAGCATTAACCCAAAACATTATTTCTTCCAACCATATAAATGTCTTGCTGTAACTTTGAAATAAAGGCTACACGTGGCTTTGAATCCAAGTATGACACAATTTCGGTTGTTGTCGCACAGTAAATGCTGCAATATAACTCGCACTAACTTTGAAATACAAATATAACACAAGAATTGGCATGAATGCGTATAAAAGATAATTTTATAATAAACTGAACAACAAAAACTTTTGTTTTTCTTTCTTTCACGAGAATTAAGACTATTTATATTCTTATAACATCTTTGTATTCATCAGTAATCATTATAATATTTAATTTTACTACCACTTTCTAGTGCTCATATACTTCTTTCGTACAGTATTTGCTCTGTTTTCTTAAATAGAATGAAAACGTGTTCCAAATTTTATAGCCTTCCAGATGCTCTTAATACTTAAGAAAACAAAATTTCTGTCATAGGTTAACATACACAATTTCCTATGAGTACCCTTATCGAATAATTTCGCGTCATTTCGTTGAAGATTTTATCAACTTGAGTTTCAAGTTCTTTTCCAAAATAACAATGGCTCCTTGTTTATGCTTTGTAACATTACTTTCCTCCCAGAGCAAGGTCATTAATTTTTATGAGCTCGACATTGTATTCTTTAAAAATATATAGAAATTCATAAATCAAATTAAAATATACCTGCGTCAACTTTTAAACAGTAAAATAAACATTTCGTCTTTATTACAAAATAATCTCCCGATGATATATGGCAGTTGGAAGAAAATCTGTGTTTTTTTCTACATAAAAATACAAGTTAATAAAAACGAAAACCCAAAGCCAGTAACTATATTATTACAAAGTCAAAACAAGAAACATTTATACCATAATAGGTTAATGGTTCTAGATGAACGGGTCAAGAAATATTAACGCAATGTTTCGTTATTTCAGCACACCCGAATATTTCGATATTTTGTTAAAATTTCATATTTGTAATGATTTTTTTTTATTCCTGTAAACTCCCAGTAGAGCATAGGGCCACAACAACACCTCGCCAACGGAAGGTGTTGTTGCAGTTACTTGTAGCAGGTTGGTTTTTACGAAGTGGAGTTGCCTTTCTCATCCTCGACTTGGGACAAGGGTTGGTGTGACGTGGATTCAAACCCGCGTCCCTCAGATTACGAGTCGAGCGCCCTAACCACCTGGCCATGCCGGGCCCATTTGTAATGATTATATATACTATTTCTTCAATTCCATTCTGTTTAGGTAACCCTGGAGTTAACTTTAAGATTCGCATGGACGTCGTAGTTGTTTTAAATACCTTTTTACTAAATAATTTAGCATCAACTTGCTTGTGGATTTATGGCTTTTTTGTTATAGGGGCTCTAAAAACATCACAGAATCACAGAAAAGAATCAAACAAACGTATCACCAATATTACAATCAATCCCATTGGTTTGTTTGTTTCTTTTGAATTTCGCGCAAAGCTACACGAGAGCTATCTGCACTAGCCGTCCTTAATTTAGCAGTGAAAGACTAGAGGGAAGGCAAGTAGTCATCACCACCCACCGCCAACTCTTGGGCTACTTTTTGACCAACGAATAGTGGGATTGACCGTCACTTTATAACTCCCCCACAGGGCGAGCATGTTTAGTGTGACGGGGATTCAAACCTGCGACCCTCAAATTGCGAGTCGAGCGCCCTAACCACTTGGCCATGCCAGACCAATCCCATTAGCTACTGTTGGGGTGGTTTCCTGTGAATTTACACAGAAAGTGGTTGATCTCACGCTTTTTCTGGTAGCTTCTTTATAATCAGTAACAGGGAAAAACCTAAAATTACTTATTTACGATACAATATCCAGACCCACAGCGATAGTGAATGGTAGAAAACAAGTGGTAATTTTGGGGTTGGTTGATAAAAACCTTTTCCAGATACAGTTGTGTTTAGAATTACATTTTATGATGTTTTATATTAATTAACTACAGTGAAAACATCTGGAACATGAACTTTGGAAATTAACGACACTTGAAACTAATATTAACCTAGAGGCGTCACTAGTATGATATTGCGAAATTTGAGCTGATTCTACTTGGTTTTCAAACGATAACCATGTAATTCTCGGACTGAATAGCCGTTTTACCAGATTTACAAAAATGGTCGTTTTATTTCAATGTAATTCGAAATTATGTTATCTTCCTTTTCTGAGTTTGATATTTTATTCTGGAAACATCACAGAAAATATGTATAGTATCGCAGAACATTTTATTCCAGAAAACCACTATCACATAAAACTGATACATCATAAAATAGTTCGTCGATTTCTCCGACTTACATGGGAGAACTGGCGAAAACAGAAACAAAAACCTAAATCAATTCGTTTTAGCCTGCAAATATTCCCACTGGATCTTACTTTGAAAGTCATATTTTATAAGGCGCCAGTTTCCATTTAAAAATGTGTTTTTGACACATATCAAATTATGCTAGGAACAGCTTTGAAAAGTAATGTGCTGGATTCCTTTGTTGCCTACACTGTTTTTGCTCCCGTGAATTAACGCTCTGTTAGTGTTAGGATTGCTATTTGTTACGGTTGTAAAAATTTAAATGCGAATATAAAGCAAAATAAGTAACCAATTACGATTCTTGTCTAGGAGAAATCGAGTTTTGTTTATTTTCATCAAAAAAAGTAATTTTTTTCTCACGTGATTCATGATTGGAGGTTTAGTATTTTACTTTCCACACGCGGGATCTGAGAATGACGGGAATTACCAGGGGGCGTTTTAAAAGTGTCGCAATACGCTGTGCCCAAAAGGCATTATTTTAAGGAAGTTTTTTGTGTTACATTCCTCGCGTTTTAGACAGTTCACTCACAGTTACCGTCATTTACTACGAATCGAAGTGCT